GGATCTATTATATATTATAGTATATATTATCATTATATATAATATTGTGATTAATATATATTATATTACGTATTGAAGTTGATGACTGTATTTGTAGCATGTGTTACACACACGACAGCACACACACACGACACACACACGACATCCGGAGCATCACGGTAGTCAGCTCGACTACACAACTACACACACACCACACACAATATATATGATTTAGATATAGTATATGTATTAGTACGATTATATTATATGTAAGAATATAATGTAATAAGATGAGATTATAGAAGTGATGAAATTAAACATAGAATTATCATATTACATGTGAGAGTATAAGTATATATTAATTATAGTTAGATATACATGATATTATATAATTATTATACAGATTATAGTATATAATATATCTATAGGATATAATACTACATTACAGATATATATGTCAGTATGTAGTACGACTCGGTCCTACCTGCATATGTTTATATATATTGTACATATTGTACATATATTATATTATATATATATATATATATATTATAATATATAGAGCAGCAGAAGAGAGAGAGAGAGGAATCATGGCGTATACTTGGGCCGAAGACGATCCTTGGCTAGAAACTGATGTGACACATCTCTGTCCATACATCACGACCTTTGGAGTTGCGTGAGGCTCCATCTTCTAGGTGTGATGTTCATGGACAAGGCATGTGTCCACGATCGACTACAAGGTATCTTCGGTACCAAGTATACCATTTTTCTTCATATTATATATATAATATATGATAATATATATATATATCTAGATTAATAGTTATTATTATTACATGATATAGGACATACGTTCTAATATATATATATTACAATATTATTACATATTATATATATGTATATATGATGACGGTGTATATGCATATATGTATTTATATTATATGTAGTATAGTTAATGTGTTTAGAATGTATATATATTATATGTATATGATATTATATATATAATATATTATATATATATAGTATATATCAGTATATAAACGTACGTATAACTACGTACGTAACATACATATAATATATATATATTATATGTATTATAATACGTACGTACTTAGCATAGTGTTCGTATATATTATATATATATATTATATTATAGTATATACAATATATATTATACATACTACATATACATACATATCATAACCTTATACATACATATGGAATAATATTATCATATACATATGTATGTATGTATGTTAATATATATATAATATATAATATATATGATATATATATATATATATATAATATATATGTAGAGAGAGGAGGGGGATGAGAGAGAGAGAGGAATATGGGTTAATTGCTTGGTACAAGCGCACACAAAAATTTGTGCTTTGGTAGTGATGTTCAATGCCAGTCCACTCCCCTATCCCCATGTGAATGTGGTCCCATATTTGAATGAGCTGAAGAAAGATGTGACACCCTCCGACTACCAAGCATACCCATATTTCTCATATATATATATATAATTATAATATATATAAATATTATATATATATATATATATATATATATATATATGGTGAAGTTCTAATAAAAACCTCCATTAGCCTAAACTAAAACCACTGTGCTGGTCGTTCTTGGATCTATCTCATACAATGAGGTTGAGATAGAGCTTTTCCTGGCAGTGATCCAGATTCTAGTGATGCAAAAATGCCAATTAATTAAAGAGTGCAATAAATTTGTCTGCCATTAAAGAGTGCAATAAATGCCATTATTCTTCAAAAAACAAACACCTCACATAATTGAATCTGTATTCACTGCAATAAATGTCATTATTCTTCAAAAAACAAACACCTCACATAACTGAATCTGGATTCACTGCAGTGAATCGAGATTTACTCATACGTGTCTTCGTTTTTTCAACTGGAAATCCTCACCCTATATATGAGTGAATCGAGATTCACTGTAGTGAATCTCGATTTACTGCAGTGAATCCAGATTCAGTTATGTGAGGTGAAACTGGATTCGCTGGATTGAATCTGGATTAAATCCAGTGAATCTGGATTCATCGGTTGTTTGTTGCCCCTATTTATTGCACTCAGTATAATAATGGTATTTATTGCACTCTTTAATGATATTTAGTGCAATAAATAGGTTTTTAGTTTTTAGGCTAAGGAGGTTTTTGAGGTGTCCTATTCCCATCCACTCATTTCAATTCCCAACCACTCTCCAACCCGTGTGAATGTGGGCCTCGATTTCAATGAGTGGAGGGGAATATACCACCTCACTACCGAGCACAAAAACTTGTGCTTGGTACCAAACATACCCATTTTTCTCATATATATATATATAACTGTTGATGTTATTATCGTGCTTTTATGTTTTATTTTCGTGTATATTACCCTCTTTTGTCAAGTCTGTTTACCATCAATCTTCTCCTCAAAATCATCAACGCTTCTCTTATTTCTCATTCACTAGGAAGCTTTGCAATATTTATAGGTTATGGCTTGCTGCATGTTTGCTTGATGATAACATGAGGGAGATTTACTATATAGCCCTTGACTAAATGCGATAACTGTAGCAAGCAGCAACCAAGGGTGAGAACTTGTGGAAATTATCAACCAATTGTATTACCTTAATCTTATACGTAAAACAAAGTGTGTCACATACTAATGCACGTGAATCAAAAGTGCAGCATAGAACTATATGTTCCCATGCTGTTCACATATTTGGAAAAGGAATCGTGCCATGAAGAGTCTCATTGTAGGATTGCTAATTTCATACCTAGAGAAGTCAATTATAAGTAGACACATTTTGGAAGTAGATAAAATCACCTTTTATCTTTATATGAACTTTTTCCTTCATACTTTATTTTGTTCGCTTTCTTTATTCATCTTTCTAGCATATTTATTGATCATGAAAACTTTATTCTGAAATAAAGTACTACAGTATGTACAATCCAACTCCTAATACCGTACTCTTTTTCATTGGTAATTGCAGGAGCTCTAAGTTATTTCTTATGAAATCAACAATAAGTATCAGAGAAATCATAAAACTTCAACAAACAAAGTAAATATAGTGTTAATTTCCATCATGCAATCACACTTAATATGACTGTTGTGTTCATAGTAGACTGGACAATTAGGCATTTGTCTTTCATTCCTAAAGTAATGTTATTCATTCTCTGTTGTTGTAATGGTGTTAAATTTGTTAATGTAACTATAATTCATTCCCTTCCCTGTGGATAGACCTTTTTGTCTCGATAAGAATGGAGGACATCATTTGGTAGCACTTTGATAGACCTTTTTCTCTCAATAACCTGCTGCATATTATGTTCAACACCTGGACGACCTGTTGGACCTCAAATTTTGATCCATTTCTGACCTGGCTTACTTGCTATGTATTCTCAACTATGTACATATTGCCATCACTTCATGGTTAGATGCTAGTCATTTTCTTAGGAATATTAATCAGACTGATAGAGTATTTCTTATTTGCTCTTTAAGATTCATTGATCACTATTGAATCTAAATTTGACCTAGACTGAATGAAAAAAGGTTTTTAGGTCTCAAACAATTAGCCTAATTTGATATCACCCACAAACATGTGATATTTGATATAAGTAATGTCAAAGGTCCCTACCATTACACCAAAACTCCGAAGTTCTAATGAGGGATATGATTGTATACTCTTAACGTGTTCCTATAGATCACCAAAACTCCGAAGTTCTAATGAGGGATATGATTGTATACTCTTAACGTGTTCCTATAGATTGAGCGCCCTTTCATATGCTGAAACCTAGACTAGCAGAGCGGTATCTTTTTTAGATACACTTTGAATTGATAGCCAGTGTGATCTAAACCTAGGTTGCTCTCTAACCCTAGGTTGCTCTGACACAATATCAAAAGTCTTCGCCATTACATACGAGAATCCTGAAGTTTTGATCGGTGCTGAGGATGACATTTTTACTCAAACAAGCTCTCTAACTCATCCTCTCAAAGCAAGCTCTATAACTCATCAAAACTTAGGTTAGTTTCACATAATCCCATGGACTATGGGGAATGTTGCACATAACCTCCCTGATTTTGTTTATTTTACATAACCTCCTAAACTTTTGGGTGTCTCACAAGCCTCCCCTGAACTTTGAATTTTTCTCACCGTACTCTCTTGATGTAATTTGAGAAAACTGAAATTTTAGCGAGAGAAAAAAAAAAAATCCAAAATTCAAGTGAGGGGGTATCTTGCCTGTAAAAGATAAACGGCAATTCAGACGGTATGTGTTTAGCCGGAGAGAAAAGGGTCAACCCTTGATAGGTATAAGTAAAATATAGACAAAAATAGTAGAAGATGAACGACGTAATAAGAGATAGGGAAAGGAGAAAGAAAATTAACTATGTTCCAAAATTCAAGTGAGGGGGTATCTTGCCTGTAAAAGATAAACGACAAAGTTTGGAATTTTTTCCCTTAAGAAAATTTTAATTATTTTCAAATTACATGTAGGGGGTCCGGTGAGAAAATCTCAAAGTTCAGGGTGGTTTTGTAAGACACCTCTAAGTCCGGAGGGTAGGGGGTATCCCCCAAAATTCACGTGGGTTAAGTGAAATTAACCCAAAAAAATGAGGCCCGCTTATTCTGAGAATTTCTTAGCATGTTTAGACCTTTGAATATATTCTCACACTGGGACTCATAATAAGTGAGCCTTACATTGTAATGGACTTGTATCGAAATTCAAATTATAGAGGATGAACGTCAATCTAGGAAGCGTCAAGGATTTATAGCCCAAAAAGGCATTTGAGTATGAGGCTAGAGCAATTCAGTTCTATCCTGAATCCTAAAGGGTTGATGCAACCATGCAAGTCGAGAAACTAAGATGATGAATTCCCTTCAACAATCCAATTTTAAAATTAATTTTTAAGGTGCTTGGTTTTTGAAACTTCCGTTATGATGCATTTCTGGATTGGTGTTTCCGAACTCTCTTCACCTGGTAACATTTGCTTTTAATGTTTGATGTGTGACAGTATCACGTGATCACCACACAGACAGACACCTATAAGAAGAAGGTATGTTCTATCTAGCAATATGTCACTTCATATATTCTCTGTATTTCATTTTCTTTAGTTTTTTTGCCTAATGCACCTCTTACCTTTGACATTAGCTGGACTGAAATCATGAACTGAGGAAAAAGTCATTTGGCTTCAGTAATTTATTGTCTTATATCCTGTCTGTGACCTTTGTGATTGGTAAATTTAAAAAGCAAAAAAGCAGTTGACAGGTATGATGTTTTTTTGAAGGGTTAATTGCCAACTGACCCAGACTAATGTATTTACTTCCACTCTGAAACATATTCTAAATTAATGCTTGCGAGCAAGCTAGTGTTATTTATATGTCTCCAAGGTCAACAATTCTTAAGGATAGTAAATAACAAGGTTTGGAATCTCGGTATTGGTATCGATATGAACTGATGATTTACATTATCGGCTTTAGAAATTTGGAGTTTCACTATCTTTGTGAGTCGGGAATGCCAGGTTTAGGTATTCGGAGTGTGACGCCCCTAGGTTCACACAAGGCTGCAGTCCAAGATGAAACCAAGAATGTCAAACCTGCCATGCACCACACCGTGCAATAACATGTTTCACCATCACAATTACTATCTCTCTAATAGAGTCAATAACAGGTGTAGGTACAAAAGCAAGTAAAAGATAATACAAGAGTCAACTGATGAAATAATAGAGAATCAAATAAATACTTCATCATCTAACAAACTGAAGTACAAGTCAATGTCTGAAATGAATAAATTGGAACTTCTCAACAAATCTCAAATACAATTGTCTGAATAAAAGGAGACAAGGCACACAGCCTTTACAACTTCTAGGATAAACTCTCAAATGTCTAACAAAGTTCTATAGCGGAGTTCAAAAGAAAAATATAACTATAATAAACGGCTGGAGCTAAAGTGCAACGCCATCAGCCTGCGACTCTCCGAGCTCCTGGCTCGTTACCTGAAAGGGGGAGGGACAACGAGCGTCAAAGCGTTAGCGAGTAACATCACAACCAACCCCAAGGAAAATGGCTCGTTGTATACAGAAAATACAGATAATACATATATATATGAAATCACTGGTCCTATATAGGTCATTACAACGTGAGCATAAGTACGTCGAGCGAAATAATCCAAACAAGAAAACCCTCATGTATATACCATGTAGCTCAAATTATAAATACCTATGTATACGAAGATTTTAGTAGTTAGGAAATTACAACACGAGCGTAGGTACGTCGAGCGAAATAATCCAAACAAGGAAACCCTCATGTATATACATTGTATCTCAAATTGTAAATCCCTAAATACCAAAATCCGAAATCTAATATAGGAACAAATAAATTAAAAGAATACAAAACCCATCTCTACTTCCAAACATAGTGTCATGTCGAACTCATATGAATGTCATGTCCGAAAACGATTAAGTGTCCAATACATAGACTATATAGATTAAATGTCCAACACATAAACTTTATGAAGTAAACGTCCAACACATGGATTGAAAGTAACGAGTGTCCAACACATGGACTGAATATAACCAATGTCCAACGCATGGACTAAATATAACCAATATCCAACGTATGGACTGAATATAACCAATGTCCAACGCATGGACTGAATGAAATGAATGTCCAACACGAGGACTGAAAGGAATGAGTGTCCAACACGAGGACTAAATATAAGCTATGCGAAGTGTAAGTGTTGATGATATATATTCAAAAGATACACATAGACTCATGTCACACGTGCCTCGGTGTGCGTATCGGTACTTGTGTCAAAAGTTAACTCACATGTACAGATAAATCACTAACATTATAAACTAGTGTCAGATAATCGAGGCGACCCCGAAATGTAACAGATCAAGAATCTGTAAAACACCTCATCAGTCGACTGGGATTGGTCGACTCATTGGTCGACCAGACGAGACAAAACTGAAGATTTTCCTATCAGTCGACTCATTAGTCGACTCATCAGTCGACTCATTAGTCTACTCATGAGTCGACTCATTGGTCGACTGAGCAGAAAATTCCCAGTTTCTGTTTTCGTTGATTATTTGCAAAGATGTTAACCTAAAGTTCTTCTTCATCATATCCAGCAACATAAAAATGATTATTTCATATACGTAACAAACTGAAACGAAAGATCTGCATGTAATCACTTACATCAAAACCCTAAACATATTTATACATGTTTAAAAACGTTTTAAAAAAACAGTAAATCACATTAAAACTCATGTTTAAACAAATTTCCAGATTTGGATCTTAATTTACAAATTCGTTGGTGAGCTTTTAAAAACTGAAAATATTTGATTTTAGCATCATATGCTATAAAGGTCTATTTTTATACACAAATAGTGATTTAGGCTCAAAAATTCGAAATAAAACCAAAGAAAATTTATACAAACAGTGGGTGAGAGCTCGGCGAGATGTTACTCGCCTCTGATATGCTAGAACAACCCCTGAATCCGAGAGAGAAAGATCCCCTTCGTCGCACCTCGCCAAAACTCGCTGCAATCCTCCGAAAATTCCCTAAAAATTCACCAAAACGAGCTAGGGTTTGAGAGGATAGAGGGGGCTAGGGTTTTCTCTGGGGTCTGATAAGTTATGGGGTTGGTTTCGGGTAAAAGAGTTTTTATGTAAGCGGTCAAACCCGAAACAAACCAAACCAAACCCGCAAAAGAAAAGAAAAACATGAAGACAGCCCGTCAGTCGACTCATTGGTCGACCCATCAGTCGACTCATTAGTCGACTCATGAGTCGACTCATAAGTCGACTGAGCAGATATAAATTTCCAGATTCGTGCATGTTTTGTTATTCAGCCAAAACCAATGCACGAAACTCTATGAAACCACACTCAAACATGTCTAATAACTTGTTACCAAGTATATCCATGACCTCAAGTCATTTACCACTAATAGAATTATTTATCACTAATAATTTACATATACTTCTAACAAAATACGGGGTTTTACATTCTTTCCCCCTTAAAAGAATTTTGTCCTCGAAATTCAGAAAGCATATTCAAACAAATAGTATTACTTTAGACAAGCATATAACGATATTTATATTTAACAATCCAGGATGATTATATTCCCACTCAACCCTTAATCGAATGGAACTAGTACGTCGGACGAAAAATCCAAACAAGGAACCCCCCATATATATACCATGTGTTCCAAAAGATTAAGAATTAAGCGGAAATATCCTCATTCTAGCGTTAAATCTAAATATAACCACACAAATAATCACACACATAAATCAATCTACTTCTTCAATAGGTGCAGGAAGTCGCGCGACATAATATCTTCGCGCTCCTGAAACTCATCTTCGATGTCTACACTTAATCATCAAAAATGTAAATACTCCCACTTAACCCCTAACTAAATGGAACAAGTACATCGAGCGAAACATCCAAACAAGGAACCCCTCATATATATATCATATGTTCCAAGTACTTAGGAGATAAGTGTTAGTACCCTCATTTTAATGTTAAGTATAAACATCGCCATACATGTAACCATAAACCATAAATAAGTCATACATAAATTTATTTTACTTGATCAAACAGGTGTGGGTAGTCGCAATGTACATCCTCCTCGCGCTCCCAAGAAACCTCCTCAACTCCTTCTTGGTTCCACTGAATTTCTACCAAAGGAAAACAACTTGATTCTAAATTTCTTGTCTTCTCTAGCAAATATACAAACTGAGATTTCAATCATAGACAACATATCCTGAAGTTAAATCTCCTGTGCGTTCAACATTCGTTGTTGCTCTTCATCATGTAGGTGCTTCTTAAGCATAGAAACATGAAACATGAATTACTTATGTACACTAGACATCGATTGTGGAAGGTCTAGTCTATATGTAACAGATCCAATAAGCTCTAAAGTCTGGAATGGTCCAACATATCTCAGCTCAAGTTTTCTCCGCCTTCCGAATCGTCGAACGTCTTTCATAGATGATACTTTCAGCATGACTAACTCTTCAAATCTGAAATTCCAAAGGTCTTCATCTCTAATCTGCATAGCTCTTTTGCCGACTCTGAGCGGTTAGAATCTGTCCTCTGATCAATGTTACTTTCTCAGTAATCTGTCTCATAAGCTCTAGCCCAAGCATTAACTATCCTCCGGCTCTACCCAATATAGGTGGTCTGCAAGGCCTCCCGTACAATGCTTCATACGGAGCCATACCAATTGTCGCTTGATAACTGTTGTTACAAGCGAACTCTATTAGCGGAAAATGCTTCATACGGAGCCATACCAATTGTCGCTTGATAACTGTTGTTACAAGCGAACTCTATTAGCGGAAAATGATCCTCCCAACTACCTTGAAAGTCAATGTTGTTACAAGCGAACTCTATTAGCGGAAAATGATCCTCCCAACTACCTTGAAAGTCAATGACACAAGCTCGCAACATGTCCTTCAACATCTGATTTACTCTCTTCGTCTGACCATTCGTTTGCGGGTGGAAATACACTACTGTAAGATAAATCTGTTGCCAACTAATCCTGAAAACTCTTCCAAAAACGTGGAATGAACACTGAACCTCGATCCGATACCATCGTATCTGGAATTCCATATAGTCGAATAATCTCCTGGATAAATATCCTCGCATACGTCTCAGCTGTATAGTTAGTCTTCACTGAAAATAAAATGTGCTGACTTCACTAGTCTATCCACTATCACCCAAACATAATCATTCTCTTCCTTTGACTTCGACAACCCTATGATAAAGTCCATAGAAATATCCGTCCACTTCTACTTCGAAATGGGTAAAAACTAAAGTGTTCCTGTCGTTCTCTGATGTTTCGCCTTCACTTGCTGACAGGTAAGACACTTAGTTACATACTCTTAAAATCTTTCTACGTATATCACTCCATCAAAAGTGTCTTTTTAGGTCCTTGTACATCTTAGTAGTCCCTGGATGTACTGTGCACCTAGTACGATGTGCTTCATCTATTAACTCCCTCTTACGCTCTGTACTAACTGGCATAAATAGTCTATCCTTCTTCCGTAGACC